AGAGAGAGAAGGATCTTCAATCCAGCTTTTGCCAGGAACTGAAACAAATTGGGACCTCGTTCACTCAAGAAGAAAATAAAAAACTTCGAACCCACAAAGAAAAAATCAAATCCAAACCCAGTTCAAATAAACTAATAAAGCAAACACGAAAATGACTATAGTCGGAAAAGCCCATAAACCCTTTCCAGAAGAAACCTCGCAAAAGCAAAGGGAAAAACTAAAAGGTAAACTATGGAAGGCACCGGACTGCAAAACCAGATAAGCTCAAACAAACAAACCGAGCAAAACCCAGACAGCGATATTCAGCCAGTCTCAAGAAAATTGCAAAAAATACAGCTCTTGAAGCAAGATTTTGACTTTTTCAAGAGCCCCCTTCTCTGTACAGATAGTATTGCGATTTGATTTCGTCTAGAAATTTCGCTCAAGCCTCTGTTTAAAGCACAACCAACATTCAAGAGGGCCCCATTACGTTTCAAAGATTCTTTCTTTAATGATTTTCAGCATTTGTTTATGGCGATGGAGAGACGTGACGTCCAGATTATTCCAAGAGCTATGCGTGAATGGCGTCATTTTCACCTTGAAGCATTTTTTTTTTCTTTCCCCACTTTTCAAAGGCTCGCGCATTTTTCTATTGCTTTTTTTTTAGCCAACTTTTTTATATTCATGGGGGTGATTGATGGATTCTCTTTCTGCGTGTAGCCCCAATAGTGAGTTGTATTTACAATTAACACCATCAAGTTTTCAAAATTGTATAATTCACACCTAGAGTGTGTGTGTGGAATTCTAAATTGATTAAACAATTTATATCTATATCTATGTAATTATAGTAGCAAAACTTTTAATAAAAATATATTATTTTCTCTTTATTTTCAGCTACAATCTTTTATTCATTTATTATTTTTGTTTTAACTAGACATGTGATGTTCATTCTATTCAATTTCAAACTTTTTCTTTATTTAAAAAAAAAATTGATTTAACTATGTATTGTAATATTTTTTATATTTTTTGTAAAATCAAATATTAGCTAATTTAATGCGCGATTAATTATTAATTTACTAAATTTTTTATTGTTCACTTTTGACTTTTTTATTATATTTTTTGTTATAAATATGAAATCAGCAAAATAAATATAAAATAATATCATAGATTACAAATCTATATGTATACATATATATANTTGGTTTTATAGGCATAATCAAGTCCCTTATAATTGCATAAACATTTGCACTTATAATTTTAATATTTTAAGCTAATTCATTGGTAATGACACATCAAAATTATAAGAAGTTACATTATCCATTACATTTTATATAATCACTTAATGATAAAACTTTTAAAATGTGATGTCATTATTTATTTTATAATTTTAACGTTATATTATACATATAATTTACAATAATTTATTTACATCTGTGCACGTGTACAGGATCGAGTACTAGTCTTTTTCAAACTAGGGGTAATTTGTATTGTCTTGCATGGATATAAGTTTGCGACTGGATATATTAGTTTTGATTGATTTTTTGGGTCAACTAGAGTCAATTTTTGAGAAAGTTGGTTGAATTAAGTTTGAGTGGAATTTTTAGATTGTATTAAAATAATATTAAAAATAAAATAATTAAATAAAATTTGATGTAAAAGTATGAGAGAGGTGATTGAAATTGATAGTTAGTTAAAATTATGTGAGTGGATGAATCGTGAATTAAACTTGATGTAATATGTGATGATGAATGATTTATATTATTTAATTATATTGATAATATTGATAAAAGTTGTGTTGAATTAAGTTTGAATTAGATTTGAGTTGAACAAAATGGTAGTGATTA